CTCTGATGACTTCTTTCCCCCTTTAAAGTCTTAAAAAACCCAGCTTTGATCATTTCGTAACAGACCCATCCAACCCAGCTTTCATCCTGTCCTATACCTGACCCATCCAACCCAGCTTTCATACTGTCCTATACCAGACCCATACCCTGCTTTCATCCTGTCCTATACCTGACCCATCCAACCCTGTTTTTATTTTGGCCACCCGTCCCCATAGCACCATCTAATCTAACTTTAATTATTCTATTCATAGCCCCATTCCGTTCCGTCCTTTCAAGCCACATTCAAGTCAGCAAGCATTACCGTCTTTATCTGCTGCTCTGAGCATTTCTTCTATCTCGTGGTCTGATAAACGCTCCGGCAGCGCGGCAAAGATCATTCTTAACTCCGACGCGGCAATGTGTCCTGTTCTCTCCTTATCAAACACTCGGTAGGCTTCACGGACCTAGATATACTGGATACAGAATACAGAACAGTCTTCTTAAAAAGACTTTATAAAGTACTAAAATGTTCATTTAAACGGCTAGAAAAAAAGCATAAGTAAGTTAGAGCGGTAAAATCAAAGCCCAAGGCGCTGCGACACAAAGCCCCTTCTTCCTCATTCTCCCCCCTTCTTCCTTCCACGTCTTATCAAACGTTTTCCTCACCACAATTTACTATGGATATAAGAAGATTATTTTGATGTGACTTTACAGGTACAACATTGTGACATTGAACTCTTCTAGTACTGATTTTATAAGTATGAAAAAAGTGTAAATTTATTTTGTCAGATTTCAATCCAAGCGTAAATTTACATTGATTTGGTCCATCGTATTATTCCCTTGTTTCCCCTTGTTAATCCTACTCAAATATCAATATCCCCTCCAACCAACCTTTTATCTTTCTACCAACCATGAATGGCTGCCGGGAACCTAAGGCTATTCTAAGTTTGTTTCCTAACTTTAAATATTTTTAAACTAATACTTGTTAAGCTCTTGTAAAATAATCTGAAACCTATTTCTTCTCCTTCTTTCACAAAAATGAGGTTTTGAAATTCTTTAAAAGATCGTGACATAATGGCGCCTGGCCTTCAATCTTAAAATATTTTCTGATACCCAGGATACTAATGCAAGGAAAGTTATTTCAGAGGTGTGCCCATTTTTTGTACCGCCTTTGGGCGGAAAAGTAAACACACGACTGATGTCACAGCCTGAAATGGAAGCAATTTTTACAAAAATAATCTATGAAATATTCTGGCCATAGGAAACTATTATGTAAATTTTCAAAATTATCAAAATTAAATGCTTTTAACCTTCTCGGATACTAAACGAACACTGAGGCATCTATTCTTGTTTACAAATTCCGTCCAGAGAGAACTGGTTTCAAAATGTACGCAGAGTATACGAGACAGCAATTAACTTTCCTTGCATTAGTACCTTGCTGATACCTATCTTTCTAAACCCAAGAAATGTAAAAACATGTTTTGTCCTGAATACTACTAAAAGTTTAAAGTTTACTTAGTATTAGTCCTCTATTCTGGGAATCACTTACCCCTGCTCGTATCTTTTCTGTTTATTTTGGGTTTTTTTAGCGCCGCAATGTATCATTTACTTTCAGACAAAATTTCATTAATTCTAATTTGTCTGAGAGTAAATTACATTCCTTTGTAAAATTTAATAAATTAAAATCAAAATATTAAATCGATTAAAAGGGGCGGAATTCAATGAAAATTGTTGCATATACCAAAAAAAACCAGCTTTTTTTAAAGGAATTATATATTTATTTTATTTTCTTACTGGTATTTTAGTCCTCGATCGAATTGTAAAAAATAAGCTTTATAAATTTCCAATTCCATTATTATTATTACTTTAGGCTTTTAGGGCGCTTCACGCCCATCTTCTTTTTCAATTTCGTGGATTTTCAAAATTTTCAAAAATCGAATTTTGTTAGTGGCAAATTTTTGAAAATTCTTTAACTTCTAAACCTTTGTACGTGTATTCAGAGCTAAATAAGTTTGGTTTTCAATTTGAATTTAATCCCAGTTTTTGATTCAAATTAGAAAATATACAAAGTTTTCTTTCTCTACTCTTCATTTGAAGAGCATTCGCCAACAAAAAATTTCGAAAGAAAAAAACGAAAATTTTATGTTGAATTGGTTTAATTTGGATTTTCTTTTCTATATTTTCCAAATTGAAATAAACATAATACAACTCAAGATACTAACGCAAGGAAAGTTAATTGCGGTTGCGTATACTCTGCGTACATATTGAAACCAGTTCTCTCTGGGCGGAATTTGTAAACAAGAATAGATGCATCAGTATTCGTTTAGTAACCGAGGAGGATAAAAGCATTTAATTTTGATAATTTTGAAAATTCACATAATAGTTTCCTTTGACCAGAATATTTCATTGATTATTTTTGTGAAAATGGATTCCATGTCAGGCTTCGACATCCGTCTAGTGTTTACTTTTCCACCCAAAGATATTACACTGCAGTACAAAAGATGCCTACACCTCGGAAATAACTTTCCTTGCATTAGTACCTTGATACAACTCTTTATTCAGTACTCTCATTATGTACACTGCACTTTCTGTATTCTCTAGCCAATTGTACATACATTCTGCACACTTCTGTACTCTGCACATATGCTGTACTGTACACAGGGGCGTATTTTAAAAAGAGTGGATTAAGGACTAAAATGAAAAGTTTCCACAGTGGATATTCGGATCAAGAAGTCAGGATTAAAGTTTATCCATTCTAAAGTTTTCAGCTCTGAACTCCTTTTTAGTTTCCTGTATTCTGTTCTCTGTCGGCATTATTTTGTATTCTGTACTCTGCAAGTATTTTGTACATGTTCTGTACCCTGTATTATGTACTGTGTGTTTTCTATTCTAGCTTCTTCGCTTATAGGTTTGAGAAGGTTTAAAATTTCCTCATCAAATATTTTTTGTTCACTAAAGATGAAGAGATGAATAAATGGAGAAATAGATAAATGGAAAAATGGAGAAAAGAATAGATAAAAGGATAAACGGATGGAGGAAGAAATAACGAGAATATAACAATGGAAAAGTTGGATAAATATCTGGGTAAATAAGATTTATTTATGTTTTCCACAAAAAGTATTTTTATATTAATAAATCAAATTTAAATGAGAGTGCTCCAGTCATTCATGTTGTTTTATAAAAGAAGAGAAATATGCTTTTTTCAATCTTTTTTACCCTAAGAATTTTTGAAAATACAATTATATTTTTGATAAATGAAATATTACGCATATCACTGAGAACCACCTCAATATCTGGAGAGGACGTCAACATTTTTGAATCCTAAGTCTGTTCATACTGTGCTCAATTGATTCCTTTTCTCCAGAAAGTTGGATTAACGGGAATGTATTAACTGACCCTCCATGCAAAGAATGCAATAACCGATTAACATAACAGATTAAGTATGAATTAGATATCAATGTTTATAATTTTGAATACTGACTATTTTCGATTGTGGTTGCTCTACAAGAGTGACGCATTTCTTCTGAAGGAAAAAGTATAAGAATTATCAGATTTAAACCTTTTTTAACCTAGAAAAAGCGACAAAACATTCTATGGTTTCCCTTTTTAAATCATTTTGAAATCACTTTTTGGAATTCCCATAACTATACTTTAATCCTTTATAAGTGTTAGAAGTTCACGAGTTCTCGATTCCTGCTGATATGGCTCAGAACATAAGCTGATGTGGCTCAGATCATAAGCTGATGTGGCTCAGATCACACTATCTCAACTAAAAGTTTTGGAATGTTTATATCTATATCTAT